TCGGACACAACTGGACTTTACCATGAGCCCTAATAGGCTTCCAATTTCTCAAGTGTCTTATCAGTTGTCCAGCTATCTCTTGCATATTTGGGGGATGGTGGTCGCCATATCATTAGACAAAGTGAGGCATTAGCCTGGGTTGGTAGATGCTGGGAAGGAGGAGAGACCTGTGCATGGCTTTCCTTCTCAGTTGTGAATAAAAGTGGAATATAACTATAACAACAACATGCAATTGCTTTTGTCCTGTGTGGTAAAAGCTTGTATTTCATTGTCAGTGTTGAAGAAAGATTCAGCTGCCAGTACAATCAGGTTTTATCCATGGAATGGGGAGAGAGGCTTCCTTACTCTTCATCTCAAGGCAATTCAGTGTCTTTGGTCAGAGACTAGGGAACAGCAAATAGATCCTTTGTATCACAAACTCCAGGAACACATGGTCACTCCCACCTATGGATCCCACCACTTCCACTCCATTGACCAGATCCTCAGTGCTGGTTAGGATCAGATCCAGAATAGCTAATCTCCTTGTTGCCTCTTCTACCTTCTGGACAATAAAATTGTCTGCAGGGCAACTGAGAAATTTCTTGGACATTGTACTCCAGGCAAAGTTTGTTTTCCAACAAATATCAGAGTAGTTGAAATCCCCTGTTACTAATATAGTTCTTCTTTCTGCATATTTGGTTATCTGGTCAAGAAAGACTTCATCTAGAAGAGTTGGAATATATATATATTCTAAATGTATAACATATCAGTTGAGACAGGGATTCTACTAAAAAGAAATACATCACACAAGGCAAATGCTGTCTGTTTATGCTTCAGATTGACCTAGGCCCACAGGCAGTATAGGCAGACAGCTGTAAAATGTATAGAACTATTTCTCTTTTATAGATAAGATGAGGAAAAATTGTACAGACTAATTAGGATCAGTTGTGTATAAAATATGCTTTAGATTGTCTCCAGAGATACACTTAAATCTAGTACAAAGTTGGCACTGAGGCATCAACACAGCTTCCTCCTCTTCCATTTTTTTCACAGCCTGGCTTTGAGAGCAGGTTTTGGTGTGTACAAGGGCTCTCCCTCCTCAACCAGTGTAAGATTAATCTAGTGTTGGATGCACAACTGGCTTGCTTCTAATAATTGGAATTCTACAGAACATTATGGACCTCATCCCATTTAATGGGAAAGCAGCAAGAATCATCTTCTTTGTGTGGTGTCTCATAGGGTTTCATCTTTAAAGGAGAATTTACTCACCCCATCACATAAGATTACCTCCTCCAGCTTCTAGCTCAACCATATGCTTAATACGAGCATGCTTTTTCAAACAGCCATCCTTTTTGAGACACCACTTTCCATGGGTCCATTTACCCACAAGTCCCTTACACTAAAGGAAAGTTAAGGCACCTCTCTCGAGACACCATTTTCCCTGGGATCATTTTCCCCTCATTACTTTATGCTAGAGGAGACACAAGGCATCCTTTTAAAGCACTTCTTTCAATGGGACCCACACTATCTTTAAACAACTAATGGAAACAGAAGGAGCATTAGCAGACTGTCCACGAGAATGCCCAAACGTTCACTAAAATGATCTAAACTGAGAAATCTGGCATTTCCCATTCCACCTTAAAATAAGCACCTATAGTTGTTTCTAAGCAAAGCTTTGGAGTTGATTGCTCCACAACGCCAAAAACCTCTGTTTCTACACACTTCAGAAACCAAATCCCACAGGAAGTACTCTTGCATCATTTGATGGTCTCTGTGGGACTCCATCTTTAAAATGTCTTTAAAGTGTGTAGAAATGGAGAATGCCAGATTATGATAGTCAATGTGATAGTCCATTTGTCCCATGCAGTTTTTTTCCAGGTTGTATATTGAAAGCAGAAGGGAAAGCAAAACAAAATCAGCTCCCTCCAGAGATGAAGGTGTTAGTTCTTGAGCAACCCAGCTCTGCAGTGCCTTGAAGATAAAGGTGTTCTGGGAATAAGCTGGATGAGTTTCCCTGTGTGGAATGGGTGGCTTTCTAAGACAGGCTTCCTCGATCGTTGGGAAATCAGGCACTGCAAAGGTGCATTCCAGACAAGTTGTCATCTTCTTGCCTGTACAGGAACAGAGATAGCAAGATAACCTTCCCCCTACTTCCACTTCACCCAAATTGTTTCTACAGTTGTTGTTATTACACTTGCCATTCGTGCCAGACTAACCTACATACTCATGTATAAGTTTAGAAATATTAGTCAAAAATCAATCCTGGGGCAACTTATACATGGACCAATGTAAGTACTATACCTTGTTGTTGTTGTTGTTATTATTATTATTTTAAAAAAGGAACCATGCTCTACTCTGAGTCAAGTGGCAAAAGCAAAGATCTTAGTTCATCCCAGGAGAACCTAAAGGAAACACTGACCCTTTCTCTCTCTGCCATAATACAATTTCTGCCCTTTTTGAATGACTAGGTGGGGAAATGGTGTTGATGGGGCTACGAATGGGTGGTCCCCTGAGACAGCATTGGTACTTTCCTCTCTAAATGAAAAAAAAAATCCTTGACTTATCCATAGGCCATACCAAAATCTATAATTTTGCCCCCAAAACGTGTTTATTTCATCAACTTATACACAAGTATATATGATAGTTAATAGCAGTCCATAGGAATTTCACCAGGATTTACTTGCTAGCAAAATATGATATTGAGCACTAAAAGCTAATAGAGGCTAATTAATAAAATCACCATAACATCCTAGTTGCACAGTATTGCTTCATTGTATGTTCCTGCATGGCAGGAAGTTGGACTGGATGGTCCTTGTGGTTTCTTTCAACTTTATGATTATATGAAATGCTGTTTGTATTGAAGTCCATGACTAACTTGCTATGATTTCAGTTGTTTGGCCCCATTATATTTAAATGGAAAAATATACAGATACCTACCCACCTGCCTACCCCAAAACAATATGTAATTTCTTAGAAGACAAATGTTTTTGTTTTTGTTTTTACTATGTGCAGAGTTTTATTCTGTGTGCATGATTTATCAATATTCACTGTCCCTGGAGGTATTATTTAGTATCTACTTGATTGCTATTAAAGTGATGTTCTTTCTACTGCTGCCATCTTGTGGTTCTTTCAATGCAGTTTATTAGAAAAATCTGTATTTTTCGACAAGGAAAGAATTCACAAAATTACCTGCCATCTAAACCTTTATTGATATTTCACAGCATTATAGTTCATATATAGATCTGGCCATTATTAAATTAAGCAACTATATATTGAACTATCGGAAATTTTGTATACACTGAACCACCAGAAAGCAACAGTATTACACTCAGAAACACATGTGGACTATTTTGGATTTTGCAATTCCAGATAAGGTATGCTTTACCTATAATAACAGATTCATTCACCCAGGAACAAGGTTCTCAGTGGGCTCAAATCTCTTGAGTATTCAAATAGATTTGTACTGAATTAGGGGTTCCAACATTTTTTTTTCAACAAATAGATTTGTACTCAATTGTACTTTCAATTGGCAGCTTATATTTCACAGCTATGTGGGAGGCTGGTATAACATAGCCCTGCTGTTCTAAGGAAAATATCGATAGTACCAATCTAATTAAACCAGTTATGAAAGACGATTGCAATTTTTTTAAAATTTTTAAACAATCTACCAAATTTATAAATCACACATTTGGAATGGAAAGAACTTGACTTTTTTTTTTTTAAAACTGAACAAAGAAGGAAATGAAATTGATAGATCTCCACAAACCTACTGAGGGTTGCTACCACATGTGCAAAGGTATTCCACAATTAAGAGCAGCAGCCACTGTATATTTAAGGCAGTGGTTTTCAACCTTTTTTTGATCAGGGACCACTCTCCAACATTAGTACCGAAAGGGTTACAATTCAGTTTTTGGTCAACTTTAGATTCGGTTTGGTTGTTTGGGGTGCTGATTGAGAAAATTGCATTGGATAGACCACATCAGCTCTAGTTTCTGATACAGAATATATGCTATCTAGTAGTCGCCATCTGCTCGCCCACAGAAAACCATATTCAATAATCTAGAGCCGTGAACCTTATTTTAGGTCTCGTGGCCCACAGGTTGGGAACCACTTATTTAATGCAACATTTGGGGATCACTTGTCTTATTTGTAATGGAATTATAATCTGCAGTTGATGGTTGCAATTGGCATAAAACAACAAATTAATAATCAACATAAAAAGTACTATATAAGAATAGATGGAAGAAACTATGCAACCACAATATGTAGTGAAGGCCCTCAAGCCCAACTTCTATGGCTTTATATGGGAACAGGACACATTCATAGAGAATAAGGATATGGAGTGCTATTAAGGGCTCACAGCAATGGGCTTTTAATAATGTCTCCTTTGATTATTTTTATACTCCAAGTTCTAGCCAATATTAAACTCATTTATGAATTGTTTTGCAGATTTCTAATTTTATAAATTGTTGAACTGTTTCTTTAAAAATGTTTTGTCTATATCCCCTGCCCCAACACGCACACACTGAAGATTGGAAAACCCATGGTCCAGCCATATTATTACTGATAGTATTTTTTGTAGAAGATATATAGAGATCTAAGGATCTCTATATATCCTACTACAAAAAATACTATCAGTAATAACATGGCAAAGAAATTAGACTTTTCCTGAATTAATCAGAAATTTCTTTGCAAAACTTAGATGCCCTCCCACCCAAAGCTGAATATTTGTCCAAATTGGACCAGACTGAATTGACAAATCACTAAATCTCACAGCTGGGAACATAGACACTGTAGTTCAATTATTTCTATAATCTTAATTTGCCAGATATACTTGAGAATGAACTTCAAAGACTCATCACACATTGTGTCACCAAAAGGCATTTATTCAATCCTTCTCATGCACTGCATAATGATCCACAGTGTTCATGAAGTGGTACTTTATGAATACAAATTGCAAAATTGTGTTTGTATAGTTTGTACAGCTTTTAACTTTGTTCTCTTTGTTTCAATTGATACAGACCTGTTTAATAATCCATTGTCACAAGATCCTAGATACCGTCTGTATGTAATATATCATATTCCTTCAGTAACACTACTTGACAGAAAAGGTAGAAGCATTTTTTCTTTTCTTCATAGATATGTTTCCAATGACACTGTTCTTGTGGCAATTCTAAAACCGTTATGTACAGGAAAAGTTACTGTTTTGAGTTTGATTTTGTCATAAGCTTTAATATTGAAAATATATGTCTTTCAAATACTTGATTTCATTTATCTGCTATAAGAGTATTTAGACTTACTTTATGAAATCCACTTAGATGTGAATTTATATCTCTAGCATAGTTAATTAAAATCTAAAAGCTAGCTTTTTCAGTTTCCAGAGGGCCAACCACATTAATTATAGCATGTGCATTTATTATGCCATATCTATTTGGAAATAGGATCCACTTCATTAAATTCAAGAAGTATTCTCTCCAGTTCATAGATATTCATGGACACACACACAAAGAGAGAGAGAAATGTAAAAAAACAAACAAACAGAGAAATGGAACAAAAAAAAATTAGATGTTGACAAGGGCTTAAATCCCCTATAGGTACCTAGTCCTGCTCTGGATTGTTGTCCAAATGTTAAAGAAGCAATTCAGAGTTACTGAAACTATGTTTGAGGTATAGCAGTGGTTCCAAACCTTTGAGTCTCCAGCCAGCTCACCAGCTGTTAGGAACTGTGGGAGCTGAAATCCAAAACACCTGGAGGCCCAAAGGTTGGGCGTCCCCTGGGCAATGTCCTTGCAGATGACCAATTCTCTCACACCAGAAGCAACTTGCAGTTTCTCAGGTTACTCCTGACATGACAAAAAAAATCACTAAAGATTTATAGATGTTCTCATGATGTGACTAGGTTGTAAATTAGCAACTAGTATTGCTGGGTATCCAATTTGAAAGCAAGTTTTCAGCCATAGCTATCCAAACTAGCTGTCTATACTTTGTCTATCAGAAAACACTCTGGCTTCTCTTTTGGGGTAACTACAGAACCAGTCTTAGTCCTTAGATATTGAATTCTGCAAAAGTTTTAAATTTCAACATTTGCCCCCTGTAACTCTCAGCCCAACATCTATTCAAAGGTTCTTAGTCTTATGGAGCAGCTGTAAATTGGATTAATCCAGTACAAAATTGGGTTACAGCAACTTCAGTTTGGTTACAGCAGTATAAGCCAGGAGATGCTTTGGGTTGGATTTTATGAAGAGTGTTTTATAAATTCCTCATAACAAATTAAGTAAAATGCCAATGAAAGTTAAGCAGAAAGTCTCCCATATTTTAGTGTGCTAAACAGACTTCACTGGGCTCAAAGTCCTTGGAGTGTCTTTTATAGCTTATTTTCTTTGGGGATAGATAAGCCATCTAGTTTTTTTCAGACTAGACTTTGTAACCTATGAAATGAAGCTTTCCACATAGTAGCAGTAGGAATTTGCTTTCCTTCTCTGTAACCAAATCAATTACAGGCCAAGTCAGGAGTATTTAAAAGGCAATTTGTAACACAGCAAGGGATCTTGCTACTGAGCAAAAATATCAGAAGTCCCACTGGGAGTAGTCAAAATGCATCCAACCTTGAGGCTACCAATACCATACATGCCAGTCTATTTCTGTCCTGGAGCAGCTGTAGCTGATGTAGCAAATAATACTAGAGAAAAAGGTATTCTGAACCATTGAGGGCATCTGGATTGCCATATCTGAAACTGGAAAAGGGGCCTTGCACCTTTTATGCTTTTGTAGAAAAGGGAAATTTATTAGGTGTTACTTGTTATTTGGTTGATTTACAAGCAATCGGCTGAAATTCGCTCTTATACACAGTCATTAGAAGTACAGAAATCATCCCTGGGTTTCACTGTGGTTAGCACTATCTTCTAGTGATAATGATGGCTATAGAGGTGCAACAATGTCTTTGATGAGTAGCAGGCCTATTTCCTTAACACATGAGTTATTGTTGCCCACAAATTATGTCTACTATCAGGATTCAAGCTCAGTTTATGAAGCCCATTCATTAATTCAGGCTCTGGTCAAGAATTTGTGGGGTCACAATTGATTTAAATGTTATGGGGAAATTTGTGTTTAGTATTTATTCTGTTCCATGCTTAAGACAAAGTAAACCTCTGCTCACTCCTTATTTTAGCTGACAAGCCAAGTGTCTTTAAATTGGCATTAGGTTGAGCCTTTCATCCATTGCATTAATAGCAGATGGTTAAACTAAACTAAAAGGCAACATATTTTGCAGATGTAACTGCAAAAGAAAGAGAATGTGCTCTGCATATTTACAACCACAAGAAGACTCTTGTTCTCCAGTCTATAGGATTTGGGAAGAGAGTTGATGTCCCACTGCTGCCTAAACCAAGATTTAGCCTCACACCTACCAAAGTGTTGCGTTTGCCTCCAGGTATATAACTGTACTTTAAGAAAATAATACAGCCAAGTAATTCTCATCCACTCCTATCCTCAAAATAGTTTTTGTAATGCCTATAAACCTCTATAATTTCTTAATTTAACATGTCTACTTCAAGATTTTTGAATTGTTTTCTGTAATTTATACATTTAGGTAGAATTTTTTTTATTTTATAAACTGTAGGGTCATTCTATTATTGATTTTTTTTTGCTTTTCCTAATCTTGAATATTGAAGTATTTAAGACTTTGAAAATAATGGTTAGGAAATATGCTAGAGATACCTCCTATAGATAACTTCCTATCTTAAACCTAAACCTGTTTTTAGACTCTATAAGCTAGTTGGCATTCCTCCCCCTCCCCCCTGATGTGCGATGGGAAGTTGACAATCACAAGAGAAATAAGGTTGAACACTGTGAAAGGCTTCCACTGTATGGCTACCAGCCTTCTCCCAGTAGACTTAAATCAAGGGAATGTTTCATGAGAATCATCACTTCTCTAAATGTTCCTCCAGTAACAGCAAGAATATCCATGTGGGCAGCAAAAACAGGATGGCCCCCCATGAGAGTCTTCATCCAGGGGCAAACCAAGAATGGGCAACTTGGAATCTCCTGAACAGACTCAAAAGTAGAGTTGGCAAATCAAAGACAACTTGGCAAAATGACACTACCTAGAATAGTGGTTCTCAACCTGTGGGACCCCAGATGTTTTGGCCTTCAACTCCCAGAAAAACAGCTGATAAACTGGCTGGGATGTCTGGGAGTTGAAGGCGAAAACACCCCAGGTTGAGAACCACTGACCTAGAAGAATCCTCCACCTTGTGGGACTGTGGAGCAGAACAAACAAACAACTCAGCATCTGTATGCATCCCCAAAATGCCCTGCCTCATGCACAGAGGAAGATTTTTTAAAGTTACAGACAATGTGGTTGCTGTTGCCCATTTTGGATCTAAAACTATCTAGCAGCTTGTGATTCCTTTATTTTTTATCAGTTTTAGATAAATTATTATATCAATTTTAGATAAAATATTATATGCAGTGCTTTTGACACAAAAATAAATAAAAACCTTCCTAACTCAAAGTCCTTTTTTAGGTGAACATGAGGGGTTTTTTTTTTTTAAAAAAAAAAACAATTAACTTGATATTACATATGACTTCTGTTCTGACTTACATACAAATTCAACTTAAGAACAAACCTACAGAACCTATCACGTTTGTAACTTATATGACCCATTAAGCATGACAGAAGAACAGCAACACAATTGGTTCAATGTTTACAAAGATCAATTAGTGCTAGACTGTGTGTGTTTATGGTTTTATAATATTGTGTTTTACTGATATTGTTACTGTCTGAATTTGGCATTGAATTTTGCCATAGTTTATAAGCCTTTCTGAGTCCCCCTTTGAGGGTGAGAAGGGTGGAGTATAAGTACAGTAAATAAATAAATAAGAAGTATTAGACCAAACAGATATTTTGAATAAGCTCACAGATCTCATTGGAATGTTCACATCACTGTTCACTTCTGTTTTTTCTTAGTAATATATAGCTTGGGGAAAAAACCTAGAAAAACATGACTCACAGACCAAACTGTTCAGTTTCAACTCTTGCTACTTAAAATTAATTATGTGTAATAGTAATTCTAGTTATTTTCTATGATAGCTCCCTTGAATAAAGTGGTATAGAAGCATTAATACCTTTTTGTAAACTTTTTTAGGTTGTGAATTTGGAAATCACCTGGTTAAGTAAGTAATAGATCACCATCTTCTTAACATTCAGTTGCAGCAGTAGAATTAAAACCAATAGGTATAAAAGTATCTAGTGACACTGGTACCTGAAAAACTAACAGATTTATTGTCCGATAAACATTCTTGACCACTTCAGCAAATACATTAATTCTTGTCAGGCTTTAGTTAAAAATTATAAAAAAAATCATGAAATATGGATACAGATGAAAGCAAAACCAACACATTTGCCCATCTAAACTCCATTTCAGTTCATTCTTATCAGCTTGCAGTATTCAAGCTGACAAATTTGGGTTTTGTTACAAGAAACAGCCAAACAGCTGAATGCCAATAAAGTAAACTCAGTAATGTTTAGGCTTTTTAAATTTTATGTTCTTAATTGTTTTTGGGTTTTTTTTGGGTGGGGGGGTTGAGAAGGCAGTTATGTTGGCTCTGGATAATGATACTAGACTGGGAAAAACAGGTGTATGAATATTATTGATGAGCAAAGCAAATTATCTTGCCCCATTTTCCCCTCTCTCGGCACTCTTTGGTGACATTTTTATTTTGGAAAGCCATCAGTACTTGACAGTAGTATGTGATACAGCCAGGTTTAAACACTTCAGAATCCCCTGTGTTTAGTGAGTCTTAAAAGGCTAGCATGTACTCCTTGGCATTTAGGCCATCTTTTCTCCTATTGATTTTTACTTGTTTTTTTCACAAACCTGTGGTACAAAATCATCTATATGGCACAAAATTATGTAATGCATTGGGTCTCATATGTTAAGAAATCTGTTAGATATCAGTGTACATGCAGTATGGGAGGGAATTCTTGTACTTTGCTAATTATGTGTGGTGATAATGTCTTTTGAAGAATTCCCTTTGAAAATCCAGAAGACGCTGTCCTTGTGAGGGCCATGCAACGCTCTCTAGTGGAGTTCTCAACTGTGGACTGGGAGAAAATGCCTACCTCTGAAGAAAGACGTCTTGGCAGCCATCCAGAAAAAAGACCTGAGAAACTGACAATCAGATTCCGATAAGAGCATCTTTGCTTTGAAAGTCGTGCCCTTTAAGAACCCATCTTTTGCTTTTACTCTTATTAAATTGTTCTCATGACTCTCAATTAATGACATTTCAGACTGAAATTTGTCTTAGAGCCTGTCATCACTCCAAGAGGTAGTTCAGCACAGATGAAAAAAAACTTTAAAGCAGTGTTTCTCAAAATGTGCTCCTCCAGATGTTTTGGACTTCAGCTCCCACAATTCGTAACAGCTGGTAAACTGGCTGGGATTTCTGGGAGCTGAAGTCCAAAACACCTGGAGGAGCAGAGTTTGAGAAACACTGATTTAAAGTATAAAGCATTTTCTAAAGATTCGATACATTTTTTACAGTTTGGTACCCAAACATATGTCCCAGAATTTCATAACTTGGTATTGATGCATACTATTTATTTATTTATTTATTTATTTATTTCTGGTGCTTTTACCCCGCCCTTCTCAACCCCCAAAGGGGGACTCAGGGCGGCTTACAAAAAAGGCACAATTCGATGCCTGTACAATTTACACATAATATACAAAAACGTAGTTAAAAACAGTTATCACAAATTAAAACAATCAAACAACCAGTACATAACACATCATATAAACATCATATAAACCATTCTCATATCCAGCATTTCGTTTTCCAGAGTTCCATAGATCCAATCCATTAATCATTTCCTAGTCATCATCAAAGTTCTTTCTTTATCTGCCCGATTGTCCGAATGCTTGGTCCCAGATCCATGTTTTTAGTTTTCTCCTGAAGGAAAGTAGCGATGTTGCAGATCTAATTTCCCCGGGGAGTGAATTCCACAGACTGGGGGCCACTGCCGAGAAGGCCCTGCTCCTCGTCCCCTATACTACAACAAATATTGAATTTTTWWAAATTGTTTTTATTGTGTCTTTTACATACATCATATTGGGATGAGAAAAATGCATTAMAATGAAGAGAGAGAAAATAAAGATAGATGAGATCTATCTATCTAAGGAAATCTCCCAGTCTTTTCCATTGTGGTTTTTGTCTTTCCATCGATTTCCGTCTTGTCTGCCCCCTTTTCTTCTTTTAGTTGCCATGTAGAGTATTTTTATGCTAATTATTTTGGTTTTATTATCAACTCCATCTTTTCTTATCTTATATAGTTACATAATGGTGACCAATCTGTATTTTTCCTTCCTTGTCCCTTTGAATGTTTGGATAATAATTGAGTTAATTTATCCATACTCATCATATCTATTAGTTAGATATCCATTCTTCTGAAGTAGGTTTTTTTAAAAAATTCTCCATTTCCTTGCATACATGATTCTAGCCACAGTTATTAAAGTAGCAGAATAATCTATCTCTATTTTTGTCTATCTCTGTATCTAACATTCCTAGAAGGAAGTATTTGGGACTTAATTCCAGGTTCATGTCGAGTATTTAGCATGTCTACAATTCCACCACATGTGATGGAATGTTCCCGAATGTTCTCCGCATTTCTAGCACTTGTCATGCATCTTTGGTTGGTATTTAGCTAATTTCTATGATGTGGTGTGCCATAATGTTATGCCAGTTTTCCTTAAGATCAGAGGCATATGTATATTTTAACTTTTAGTTCCAGGCCTTTTCCCATTTTTTCTAGCTTCATTGAATGACCTATATTTCTTGCCTATTTTGTCATATATTTCTCAATTTGTTCAGTTTCCATTGTCCATTCCAGTAGTTTTTTGTATAGTTTGGTTATCAATTTCTTCTCTGTACTCATCATTTTGTCCCAAAATGTTTTGTGTTTTGTAAATCCCAGTAATGTTTTAAGATGGAAATCGGGAAGCTATGTTACAGAATTAATCCATAAAGAACAACGTTGCCACTGAAATTGGCTATGCCACATATGGATGGAAAAAAGAAAGAGCGTATTTTATTCTCATTTAGTCAGTCTAGAGTTTTGAGGTTCAGTGCACCAATAGCTGATGGCAAAATTGCAATTTTGTAAGGTTGATTAAAACAATTATGAGCATTTAAAAGAAAGCAACTCAATTATAAAAATGAAAAACAGGAGCAGCTGATGCTCCAACTTACAACATTATTGAAAGAATGAAGTTTGAAACAATAAGGCCTAGATCCAATATGGTGCCAGAAGGGAAAATAAAGGTCTGTTAGTATAGTTGCATTGGATTTAACAGTTGAAAACATAGTATCACATTGGACAACAGGACTGGATCCTTCTCTTAGAGTTCATCACATTATAGAACTAATGCCATTTGACATCACCTTAACTGCTATGGCTCAGTATATGGAATCCTGCGATTTTTGGCTTGGTGGGGCAACAGCACTCCTTGGCAAAGAAGACTTGTGTGAATTGTAAAACTAAAACTTCAGAGCATTAGATCATGGCAGTTAAAATTGTTTGAAACTGCATTAATTCTTCTGTATAGATACACTCTTATACTTAAGCCTAGATAGATATTTCTGCTCCTACAAGAGAATACATGCTAGGGCAGTAATGCCATTAGATTCAGACCCAAGTCTTTAAGCTTATTTCTGCAGCCAACCAAGATAAGAGTGTGTTAAAGATACAAGGCGATTACTAGAAAACTCCTAACTCTGGCACTCACCATTCCAGTGTATTTTGGTGGTAGTTCCACAAATGGACCCATAGAGACCAATCATGAGACTTGGGTACTTAGTGTTTCAAATAATCTAATCCTAAACTAAGATTTCATCATATTTAAAATGTGCTTGTTTAGAAACCCAAACCCATATCTTTATAAGATGTTTGATATTCAAACTAAACAATACATACTTTAGATTGACAACTCCTAAAACTACATAAATAAAAATATTCAGTATTTAAATATACCACTTGATGACAATATGTAACATTTATAGAAAGTGGAAGATGTTTGCTCCAAGTACTCATAAGGGCAGAAGGGAGACCACAGGTGAGAATTAATGAATTTTCTCTTACACTTAGTTAAGCACAACATATGAGTTAATTCCAACTGATAGTATTCTTACATCAATTGTCCGGGAGATTACTGACATTGATGTCCCTTTTGGTGGCCAAGGCAGCAACTCATGATAGCCACTCTTTGAAATGAATGCCATATCCCTGTTGCAACCAACTCTGTCAATCAGAGGCAATGTAAGAGGGTGCAGTTCACTACCAAAGGACACTCAAGCAAGAAACTTTGCTAAGGATGGAATTACACCAGACACTACTTGTAGTAGTTATCATGTGAACAAATATACTAAAAACCTTTATTTCACATATCATGCTAAAGATAGAACAACATATTTGCTTTGACTAATATTTAACAAATATTCTTAAATGACAAAATATTGTGAAACTTTGGGATTATAAAATGCTATACCATATTGCATCTTATTTTAATAAATGTAGTTCATGTATGACAGCACTACAATCACTTTGTCAACATGTTTTTATTTCATTGTGCAGACACATACCAAGTTTTCTTCTAATACTTTTCATGGTACAAGAACAACATCAGACAGGCTGATTTACCCATCAGACATCACTTCTTCTACCCTTTTATCATAGACCCCTTCCCACGATGCACACCAATTTCTGAGTGGGCTCCAAGGTGAAAGAGGAGAGGAAGCAACACATGCCATCACTATGGCAACTCAGGAGTCTTCCTGTGTTACCTTAGGAGTAATGGGACGGATTATCCATGCCCCTCTCCAGGATCCCCATGGATTTGCCACTATGCATGGCGAATCCTCAGCCCAATGTGATATGATTGTATGTCTTGTTTTTCCTTTCCCAATTCTGACTACTAGTGAGAAAGCCAGTAAGAAAGCTGGAATTTTAAGGAATATATGTTCCACGCCAACCCTGAATATACACCTGGCTATAAATCCCAAGATCTGCTAGAAACAGAACATGGCAAGTGGGTTTTGCTTCCCAAGTCCTTTATTTCTGCAATTTCAAGTAGCAATAAGAAGAAACAATGGCCCCATGTTCACTTATCTAAGAATATGTAGGTTGTAATATCATAACTGTTTCAGAGATTATCTTTGCAGTTAAAGTTCTGAAAACATTCTTTAGCAAAGCAGAAGTGAAGACACCACTTTCTGAATGGCATACATGGGTACTGTTAAATACTCATTGGCGTAGCTGATCCAACAGGACTAGGTGTTTGTGGTTGAGATTCTATAAGTAATTTTATATGTTAATTGTGCTACACGATTCCCATATTGAATGGGAATGCTTAGCATTCAAATCCAACACAGAATAAATAACTAAATACACTGCCAACTGATTTCAGAAAGGGGACACAGATACACAGCAGCCAGGAATTAATGTTCACATATACTTACCTACTTACTTAGGTGATCCCTCCAAGTGTGGTGTCCTGCTGGTGGGTACGTAGGTGACTGTGCAGCCCTATTCTTGACTCGCATGTTCTCCAGCAGTGAGGGCATCGGTTTCCAGGTCCCGGCTGGGGTTGGCTTGATGTGCCTTCCTCTTGGCACATTTCTCTCTCTTGCCCTCCATTTGTGCCTCTTCAAATACTACAGCACAGCTGGACACAGCTGACCTCCAGCTAGAGCACTCAAGGGCCAGGGCTTTCCAGTTCTCAGTGTCTATGCCAGTTTTTAAGGTTGACTTTGAGCCCATCTTTAAATCTCTTTTCCTGTCCTCCAACATTCCATTTTTTGTTCTTGAGTTTGGAGTAGAGTAACTGCTTTGGGAGACAGTGGTTGGGCTTTCAGACTACGTGGCCGGTCCAGCAGAGTTGATGGTGGAGGAGCATCGCTTAAGTGCTGGTGGTCTTTGCTTCTTCCGGCACGCTGACATTTCACTGCTTGTCTTCCTAAGAGATTTGCAAGATTTATCAGCGGCAACACTGATGGAATTGTTCCAGGAGTTGCGTATGACATCTGTAGATAGTCCATGTTTTGCAGGCATATAGCAGGATTGGGAGAACAATAGCTTTATAAACAAGCACCTTGGTCTCCCTACGGATGTCCTGGTCCTCAAACACTGTGCTTCATTTAGAAAAGTTCAGAGGTCAGGCAATGTTGTATTTCAGTGTCAATGTTGACTTTTGTGGAGAGGTGGCTGTCAAGGTTACACCATTAAGCTGTATTTCTGGCACTGCAAATGGATTGGCTGGTGCCTGCATATGCA